CAATATCAGGCTCCACGGTATTTTTATAAAAGAACATTTGAGATGAAATTCTCGAAAATTCATATATATCAACCTATGCATTTTATTCATACCTACTTGAACATGGGTGGGTGTCTAGCGAGGTGTCTAGTGTAGAAAGTTCTTTAATACTGAGGCGAAATAGGTATATATAATTCTACGCTATTATAATCTTCTCAGGAATACACATCATGAACACAATTTTATTGAAATTGAAAACCTTAAGGTGGATGGTGGATTTATGAAGCACAAATTTACCATCAATTCCAATTTACATTTACAATTCAACTCTAACGAAAAAGATGAACCTCTTGTTAGACAGGGTTAATTTTATGTAGAGAAATCAAAACTGAACTTGAACTATCAAGTTGGGCAACATTCAAATTTCAAGTGTAAATGTTGATTTTTGATACTATACTGCCCATCTCTTGGCATCGACTTTTATAATCTCCAAATTATGATTGATGCTTTTTCGATTTTTAGATACTTCACTTAGGTAATATTTTTTGCTTCTATACGCTGAATACACATGGGTAGTTTTTGTTAATGTTGCTTCATGAAATACAATCAAAGTAAAAGATTCATTTTTACACTAGTCAAGTTTATTTCGAAGTTGAAGCTTGGTTTTAATTGTGCTTCATAAATCCACCTTTAGCCTTTAGTGAAAACCTCACAAACATTAAATATTAGGTTTATACACAGCTAAATTTGTTATTAGTGTTACGGAAGGCACAGAGAATCGAATCAACTGCCTTAGCGCTAAATCGTTTTGTTCTGATTGGTATCAAAATCCATCTACCGTGCTTTCACGTCTAGACCCTACAAAGGACATAACTCTTGAGATAACTGATATATCGTTATTTGTATGGGAGCGAGACAGCGAATGCTCCTGTGGTAAGTGCTAGCCCTGATCCTCCGACTAGGGTCTCTTGATGTAAATTATCGTATTTGTCATCTTATGCCCCAACTGGGACCGCGGACCGATTACCTTGAGTGTTTTTCGATGGAAGCACGGTATACCACCGAAAGTCATGGCTGTATGAATTTCTGCACCTCGCCACGCATAGCGAATTCATTTGTTACGTTCAAGTAATTGGCGCCGTCTATCAGTTAATAATAGAACTCTTCAATGTAACCCTTTCGCGATTTCTAACCAGCGAATGCCAGCGATCATGATACGAACAGAAACATAATATACAGTTATTACACCATATTGTCGTAAACTTTGATAGATGGCGACATGCCTGTTATTAAAATGATGATAAAACTTCGTTGGGATACAGGGTGGCCCACGAGAACCGGGCCAATCCTGTAACCTTTGAGTGATTAAACAGTTTGAATTTCTATACATGTCACATTTTACATTTGTTGATGCCATTTTGTTTCGCCGAAAATGACCTCAAATTTTGATTTTCAAATGGAAAGCCCTTTATTTTTACACATTTTCCGATCAGGAGGATCATTCTACCAAAAAAAGCGTCGTTTTTTATTTCATCTATATATACAGTGCTTTAGTAAAGTACTCGATAAATTCAATTTTAGCAGAGTTTTTAGCAAAACTATCCATTTCTGAGGAATCTCCTGAAACCGACATTTATAAGCAAAAATAGGGTGATCCACGTTAGAGTTGAGACGTCCGCGGCAGTTTTTGATGAAACACCCTATATATTTTCAATTTTTGAAATCTCCATACAAAACTGGATTGAAAAATATATTCATTCTGCTTGATTTCCCCGTTTCTATAAGAGAAAAATATGAGTGTTATTTCAATATACGTGTAGTTGGACAAATCAGATGATTTGCCCCAAAATGTCACTGCGTTCAAAACATTTTTCTATCAGGGAACCTAAAAGAAGAATACAATCGTTGGTCAGTGAAACTTTGTTTTGAAAAATGTTTGAGGACAAAATATATAGATATATTGAAAAAATATCGAATGTTTACTTGTCTTTGGATGTTTCGGGAACAAATCTGCTCTCGATTTCAACACTGAGAAGTGTCACACTATAAGACGATTTTCAAAGAACACAATTTTACAGTTTTAATGTTGATAACAGGAGATTCGTTCCCGAAACGTCCAAAGATAAGTAAAAATTCTTTTTTTTTTCAATATATCTATCTTTCCTTCCTTAGTACATTTTTCAAAACAAAGTTTCACTGGCCAACGATTGGATTCTTCTCTTAGGTTCCCTGATAAAGAATTTTTTTAAACGCAGTGTCGCAGTGACGTGTGATTTGCCCTACTACTCGTATATATTTGAATAATACTCATTTTTTTCATTTTATAGAAACAAAGAGAGAAAATCCCAAATATTCAAGCAAAATGAATGTACCACCTCCTCGATTAACCTACAGCCAGTATTTGAAAAATATATCACATATACAGGGTGTTTCAGTTTTTTGTAGCAGAACTTTAACAGCTTGAAGAAGACATTTTTTCAAGATGAAAATCTCATACAAACATTTGGCATTTATCTCGAGAGATCCATAAAGTTTTCGAGAAATTCACATAGGGGCAAGAAGTTTCCAAATTGCAGAGACAATCTGAATCTATGTCCCATTGAAAGCAGAGGCGGCACGCAAAAAAGATCTACAGGGTTAAATTGGGTACGACCCCTGAAAGTCTATCACCCTGTAGGTATTCAAAAACGCTCAATAGCCTCAAATATTGAGTTTTCGAAGTGTATTAGTTGTCTCAAATTTCAATCAATTATTCTGAAAATTGTAGGAGAAAATTCGAAATACATAAAAAAAATCTGAAACTTTGACACCCTGTAAATCGGAAACGGAGCTCCCACGCATATATGTTTGTTTGAGATTTCTATCTTGAAAAAATGTCTTCTTCAAACTGTTGAAGTCCTGCTACAAAAAACTGAAACACCCTGTATATGCCCCGACGAATATTGAATTACATCTATTGAACACACACGATAAGAATTTGAAAACAAAATCTTCTGAAGTAGAGAATTATTTGCATTCTCCTTCATATAAAGATATGCATATAATATCATTCTGAATATTCAACAGAAAACAAATACTTTCCTGGCTATTTGCCACGTCGAACATTGAAATATATCTGTTGAATATCCAAAAAGAGAGAGAAAAAATCATTCGTATCAGTGATATTAGAATTATATCTCTCACAAACAGGTAATATGACTCAACTCGAGTAAAACTCATTTCGGATATCATATCCTCATCAGTAACCTGAAGTCCAGTTATTCTTTCAGCCATTCTTCATGATAATATACACAATTTTCATCTTCCAATAATATAACTTGAACTATAACGAACTGAAATCTGAGAATTATAATTTGTTGACATAACCACTCTGTCATCTGGGCATTAGATTTTGAATGTATGATAAATTGATATTCATCATACAGGATGTGGAAAGAAATTCTGAATTGAGAAAACCTAATCATTATATTTGATTTCATGATGTATGAAGCAATGAAAGAAAGAAAGAATGAACATATATCTATCAATCTATCTCAAAAACGAAACGAGTTATGAAAATTTTTTTTGCGTAAATCTCTATCTTTGAAAACAAGTGAGATATCCCGTAAGGACATTAAAAATGGGACAGCCCGTACATATTGATACGTGAACGCCGTCTACTAACAGAAGTTTATGGTCCTGCGACCGTCTGTCTGTCTTCATGTCGATTCGCGCTCCTTCTGGCCTTCTGCGTTGCAGGTCGGACGGAGGCGTCGCGACGCCTGTCGGCAGTAAGAAAAGATCCTGCAGATCGCGACGAGAGAGTTCGCCTCAGTTTTCAGTGGACGTCGGGCTTTTTGGCAGCTAAGGTTGCCTCCGTGGTTGGCGGACGGAACTTTAGATATCACACGCGTGTTTGTGTGCGGGAAAGTTGAACATCGGCTTCGAAGATGCCGCAGGTAGATTTCAGGTTTTCTTATAATAATAGTATAATAGTATGTCTGCATTCATAATATAAGCCGAATCACAAAATGAGTAGGAGATTATTCTTTTCACAATGTGTCAAAATGTGATGTTCTCGTTGTTTCAACCAATATCAATGCTTAATTCTAGCCAAACGTTAGTTAGATAGATAGATAAATAGATAATTTATTCATCATTGCAGTTTTTACACAAAGTAGTACAGAAACTTAGCAAACTAGTCAAACAAGGAATCAGACTTTACACAAGTCATGCTGAGAACGAAAATATTTTAAATTGAAACACCAGGCATCTGATTATTTTTTCCTGCATTATAAAAACCCTATAGGCAAGACTTGAGTTTCTCCAGAAAATCAGACCATAAGTTACGATGGATTGCACTAACCCAACTATACAGGCATTCATTATTCCAAATTTTTTGGGATTTTCTCTCCTCGTTTCTATAAAATAAAAATATGAATATTATTTCAATATACGTGTAGTAAGGACAAATCAGATGATTTGCCCCAAAATGTCACTGCGTTTAAAGAATTTTTCTATCAGAGAGTCTAAAAGAAAAATTCACTAGCTTGTCAGTGACAATTTGTATTGAAAAATTTTTGGAGAAGAGAAATAAAGGTATATAGAAAAAATATCAAATTTTCACTTATCTTTGGACGTTTCGGGATCGATTCTGCTCCCGTTTTCAACATGAAAAGAGATTTTTTCAATTGAAAAGAGATTAATTTTTCATTACGATCGAATATTTCTTTAATATCTCAACTATTTTCAAATCTTGTGATAAATACCAAGTATTCTAGATATGGTGGGAGTTGTTTGTCCCTCGGTATTCGCCTGAAGAGTGGAATGGATATAGAATGTGGGCGATATTTTTGCCAATTTCGATACAAAATCTACGCATTTCTAAGTTGAACAGTCGCTTCCTCTGTATTAAACATTTTTGAATTTTTAAGCAAAAACAATGTATAACCAGAATTTTATGTTCTCAAAAGAAAAACTGACACACTAAGAGGAATTTTTTTTTTATGATTGTGGAAAAACTTATGTAGGCCAATATAGGCGAGCAATCAATAATTCATTTTCAATAAATACAGGTTGTTTCGAAAAATTGCAGGTAGTCTCTCAGACGTGAATAGGATCGCAAGATGAATTTCGTTGTTTATAATCTCTGTTGCCTTGAAATTGAGATATTCACTCCTTGAAGGAAGGGAGATAAAACCACTCTTCTGCGGACATGTTTTGATTTTCCTTTTATGGAATTTTGTATCCATAAAGTACTTTTTATGCAATGGAAAATCAATTCCAATATTTTAATCATGGGTTATATCATGTAAGGAGTTTCCAATTTTCAGCATTTTTGCGGGGTACCTCCATCTCCTTAATTTTCAAAGATAGATTATAGCAGTTTTCGCTACAGTATTCTACTCTTCATGATATTAAAAAAGACGTAGGCAAATATTTCATAGCTCTTTGGTTTTTGAGATAAAGGGTGGAATTCAGAAGAAACAATTTTGAACACCCCTGTATCTGTTATCTTTGATCTTTTCGAAGTAGTTTAAATGAATTTTCCCGTAGAAGCTAGTGACATAGTAAGCTTTCTTTTAACACCTTTTGTTTTTTAGTTTTGAAGCAAAAATATATTTTCTTATGTAAAAAATTTACGATTGTATGTAAAATTATTTTCAGTAAAAACTCGTAATACAAGATTCTCTGAAATTTTGGTATATTTATCCAATTATTAGTAGATAGTATTTTTCAATTTCATTATCGCGTAACCTCCAACCCTCTAGCTTTAAAAACGGTACCCCGTAAAATTGCTGACAATGGGATACAGTGTACTTGGCACGTATTTTCCATCAACATATTATACTAGGGCAGTAAAGTAATAATAATAGTAAAAACATTCGTCGTAAATTATACTGATGTAGAAGATCGATTGCTGGAATTTTACATCGGTCAACAATACCAGTAGGCACCCATCATCAAAGTCCAGTTCTTCTCAATTCATTCATTCGCAACTTTTTCATCAATCAACCAAATGTTTGATGAAAGAAGGCTCGAAAGCAGCCTGATTCTTCCCGTTCACCCTGAACCTCAAATTCTCGTTGATCACCGAACACGTGTACAAAGTCTTTTCAGCGGTCGATTGCGGATAAAAATTACCCCCCGTGCGCTTTTTTGGCTTCATAACCTCGTAAACCGTCAAGTATTTATCAGGCTTGTGCTCAGGGAACTTTTCAAACCCCCCAGCGTGACATCCTCCCGGCAATTTCCCAGGACCAGTCGGAATCATTTTCCCAGGAGGCAAGGGAGCGACCCCTTTCTCCTGAGGCCTCACGTACGTGGGGCCCGCTTTGACGTTCGGGGGTTCCATGAAGGGGTTGCGGTCGAAAAAGGGCGTGGGGTAGTGGTTGATCACCATGGGACCGTCCACGGTTTTGCCGTACTCTTTGTACTTCGGTTTGGCGCCATATCTGTCCGGGGTGTGCGAAGGGTAGGGGTTGAGGCACGTGTCCACGTAGCCTGGGCCCCCTTCCTTCCCGGGATTGCTGAGTATGTTCCTGGGCTCTCTTTTGTACGGTGGTAGGGGCCTCTTCTTGTTGCTGAACGCCTCGATCTTCTCGAAGCAGCCGTAGTAGTCTCCAGGAGTGGAATGCAGTTTGAGATTACCGGCAGGTACGAAGGCTTTCTCAGAAACGTTTTTGAACCTCGGAGGCTTGGGCTTGACGCCTCTGCCTCTCAAGGCTTCGCCGATGAAGAGCCTCTTGAAGTCTTTATCGAAGTAGCAGTCTTGTCTGGCTGTTTTGGTTTTGGGACCTTCGCCCATTATGTTGCGGCCTTTGTCGGCTCTAGGCTTGGGAAAGGGCGAAACGTAGCCTTTGCCGTTCATGTAGGGCATTTCCGAGAAGAGGCCGATCCGTTCTACGTCTGGTTTGCCGTAGAGGTTGCCCATCTCTCCTGCTTTCGCCATTTCGGTGAGTAAAATTATACAGTTTGATGATGTTGGTCGATGGTAGAGATAGTTGTCAAAACTGGCATTGACATTATTGAGAAATATGTCAGTCAACAAATATAGCGGGTATATGATCATTAGTTCCACGTTTCTCCTTTTGGAAGTTGAGATGGATGAAATGTGTTTCTGTATTGTTTCTATGAAAGAGTTGTGGTCGAAAAAGAAGAAAAGTTAATGGTTGGTGACTTTGGATCCACCCAGGTAAGTAATTTTGGAACCATCGGTCGTACCTTCTAGACGTGTGTGAAAGATAGGGGTTGAGACACGAGGCGACGTAGCCTGGGCCCCCTTCCTTCCCGGGATTGCTGAGTATGTTCCTGGGTTCTCTTTTGTACGGTGGTAGGGGCCTCTTCTTGTTGCTGAACGCCTCGATCTTCCCGAAGCAGCCGTAGTAGTCTCCAGGAGTGGAATGCAGTTCGAGGTTACCGGCAGGTACGAAGGCTTTCTCGGACACGTTTTTGAACTTCGAAGGCTTGGGCTTGACGCCTCTGCCTCGCAAGGCTTCGCCGATGAAGAGCCTCTTGAAGTCTTTGTCGAAGTAGCAGTCTTGTCTGGCTGTTTTGGTTTTGGGACCTTCGCCCATTATGTTGCGGCCTTTGTCGGCTCTAGGCTTGGGGAAAGGGGAAACGTAGCCTTTGCCGTTCATGTAGGGCATTTCCGAGAAGAGGCCAATCCGTTCTACGTCTGGTTTGCCGTAGAGGTTGCCCATCTCTCCTACTTTCGCCATTTCGGTGAGTAAAATTATACAGTTTGATGATGTTTGTCGAGTGTAGAAACTGTTGTCAAAACTGACATTGACATTATTGATAAAGACAAAAAATGTTGCGGGTATGATCATTAGTTCCACGTCGCTCCTTATGGAGATTGGGATGGTTGGAATGGGTTTCAGTAGTGTTTCTATGGAAGCAGAGTTGTGGTCGAAAAAGAGGGCGAGGTAGGTAATTGTTAGTCACTTTGGAACCATCCAGATGAGTAACTTTGGAACCATCCGTCGTACCTTCTAATCGTGTGTAAAAGATAGAGGATGAGAGACGAGGCGACGTAGCCTGGGCTTTCTTCCTTTCCGGGGCTGCTGAGTATGTTCCTGGACTCTCTTTTGTACCGTGGTGGGGGCCAATTCTTCTTGCTGAACGCTTCAATCTTCCCGAAGCAGTCTTGTCTGGCTGCTTTGATTCTGGGACTTTCGCCCATTATGTTGAGGCCTTTGTCGGCTCTAGGCTTGGGAAAAGGAAAAACGTAGCCTTTGCCCATTTCTCCTACTTTCGCCATTTCGGTGAGTAGAATTATACAGCTTGATAATGTTTGTCGATGGTAGAGTTAGTTGTCAAAACTGACTGCAACGTGCTATAATCACAAAATATCAAACTCATATGTCAGCTTTAGCAAAAATAAACTTCGTATACTAACAGGAGTCTTAACAGGGTACTGCGGTTGAAAAGACATCTCAGGAAGCTCGGCTTAGAAAAGGAAGACAGATGCAGGTTCTGTGGGGAGAGCTATAGGAACACACATAGTAAAGGAGGACGAACTACCCTACCGAGAACCACCTCATGTTCTGAGGGATATAGGACTTGCTATAGCTACGGAGAACAACCTCATAAGTAGGATCCTCATCGGGTATACCGAAAGAAGGGCTCACAATAGAATATTGTTTAACGAGCACGGAATGATAGTGATTTCCCACGAGAATGGGATTTGCGATCAAACTAGTGGGACATTAGCTTTCCGTGCGAGTTATACACTATAATTTTTCTACGGCTGTAACAGATATCAGCGGTATTCCTGATTTCTTCGTCTTGTAGCCAACGGATTTCCTGTCAAGTGATGCTCATCTATAAGACTGAGCTATCATTGCTTGAAATTTGACATTCCATGAGCGATGTTGAAAGTTGATTTCATCCTCGGGGAAAAAGTAGCACAAATAACTATTATATAGGTCGCAGTGTATTCTCCCCTCAAACATCATACAATTCAATATTGAGAAAGCTGTCAGTCAACAATTTAGCAAATGATTGTAATGATTAACAGAGATTAATTAGTTCCACGTCTCTCCTTCTGGTAGTTATGATAATTGGAATTAGTTTCTCTGTAGTGTTTCTATGAAGAAGTTGAGTTCGAAAAAGAAAGAAAGTTTAAACTTTGATGCATTTGTCCAAAATGAACAATGGCATTCTTAGAAGATGACAAGTTTATTTACTATGAGAAGGGTGGTAGGGAATGGAACCAATCAGCATTTCCAGGATTGCTCAAAATGGTTCTACAATTCAAAAATGGCTTTCAATATGCGAAATCACATACATCATACATAATACTGTTCGAAACTATATGACTCACTTATCGAAACCAGTTCCGAGATGAAAACAATCGATAAGAGGTGTTTCCATATATTTTGCCAACCATGTTCATTTATTTTCAGAGCAAGGCAAATATCTGACCTTTACCTATTCGCTCAATTCAAACTGGGTGACATTTTCCTAGTCTAGAGCCGTGATATTAATGCAAAAAGATTTGAGGCTTCGTTTGTGCTATAAACGGCGTCAACTTTGGGTTATTTTTATCTTTTTGTGCGCACGAAAATGAATCCCTATTATGTTCCAAGAACGGGTACCTAGGGAGAATGGGAAAAAAGGTAGGTATTGAATTATTTTTTGCAGGCTATAAGTTGGGAATACTTCCTTTGGCCAAAGCTTTGCCGTTCTATAGATAAAAGAGTTTTGGTAAAGTGTTGTTCGACATATCGCAAGGTTAACGAAAAAATATGTTGACTGATCTTAATTGTCGAGTTCTTATGACTGGTATTTCTAGGAATGGAATTCCTGAAAAACATTTTTCGTGATGAAGTGAAAGGTCGCCGATCTTCCTACGGTGTTCCAATGATGTCAAGGAAACAGTGAGTGTGGCATCACCAACTAGGTGAATTACTCGTTTTTTAATGGTAGCATCAGCGTAAAAGTTGATAATAAATAGAGTATTTTCACCAGAGAAATATGTATAATACAATAACTGTTTGAAAGAAGGAAAAATCATCATGAATAAATTACTTTTCTCTAACCTTCCTTAATAAACATATAGCGCTAATAGGAACACCATAAACTAATTACCACTCTCCTCTTATCCCCAGAAAGAATCATTTTTACACCTAAAATACACGAAGAGGATTTAACTGGCGAAATAACAAATTACAAAACACCTACCGATTACGAGATTTTGAAAAAGATCTTTTTGTACAACTGTCAAAAGAACTGGACATTTCTTCATCTCTATTGATGCGTAAATGTGTACTTTTTTCATCGTGAAAAAATACTTCTCATTCCCAAAATAATTCACAAAATAAACATGAAATATTTTTTTATGACGATTTATTTTAACAGAGTCAATTATCAATTGATTATTCATCCTAAATCAATTTCAATTATTGGAATAATAATTGTTAGTAAAGTTTAGACAATTACTTCCATCATAAATTCCCGAAGATGTTCCATGTTGCTGCTGATCCGAATGTTGATCAGAAACATTAGATATTTCAAGAAGAGTTCGAGTCCACAATCTTATCAGATATTTTTATTTTTTTCGGAATATGATGGTCAATTCAATATTCTGTTAGAAATCTCAATTTTGTTATTCAAACTAGGTATCTTCTATATACAGAGAGGTGCACAAAAAACGGCCAGGACTGTACCTTTTGAATTATTCGAGATAGGGTTCTGAAAGTTGGTGGGTAGCAAGTATACCGAATTGCTCATTAATTGATGAAACAAATTCTCTGTTATCACTTCCAGTGTCACCGAAAACGACCCCAACTTTTGATTTTCAAATGGGACACCCTGTATTGTATTCCATAATCGGTTAGGGATTATCATGACGAATTCAACAATACCGGGTTTGATAGGGTTATTTCAAATGATTACTAAGATATCCGCGTTCGAAGTTTTCATATGCTCAATGGGTGTGACTTCGCAATATCAAAACTTCTTTCTCTGTCACACTCATTGAGCATATGGAAACTTATAGCGGGAATATCTGCGTAATCTTTTGAAATAACCCTATCAAACCCGATATCGATGAATTCGTTAAGACAATCCCTAACCGATTATGGAATACAATACAGAGTAGGGTGTCCCATTTGAAAATCAAAAGTTGGAGTTGTTTCCAGTAAAACCGAAAGTGATAGAACAGAAATTGTTTCGTCAATTAATGAACAATTGTGTATACTAGCTGCCCACCAATTTTCAAAACCCTATCTCGAATGATTCAAAAGTTACATTCCTGGCAATTTTTTGTGCACTTCTCTGTATGCTTCTGCTACGAAGGCAGATTTCCAGTCACCGTGACGTTATATGGATGTAATTTTGCTCGAATTTTGCTGCCTACATTGGTTTTCTTTTTCGGGCCAGGAGCTATTTCACTTCCAGTCAGCTGCTTATGATCTATAAGGTACAGATCCGACCTGTCCTGGAATACTGTTCCCATATTTGGAGTGCAGCACCCAAACATACCCTAAAATTGTTGGATTCGGTCCAATAAAGGGCAATTCGTCTCGTGGGTGATGCCTCGCTCACGAACTCACTCAATTCTCTGGAACACTGTAGAAAAGTTGGCGATCTGGCTCTATTTTATAGATATTTTCATGGACGATGCTCTTCTGAAATATCAACAATTGTTCCCCCTTGGCAGCCGCGAGATTAACTCGTCGAGTTGAGGCCTCGAACCCCTTTTCTGGTCACTTTGGAGACCTGCAGAACATGTCTTTACAAAGACTCTTCATCCAACGATGAACGAACAGCGAGGCTTTGGAACACATTGCCAAAGGGGGTGTTCCCCGAGGCATATAACCTTCAGAAATTTAAGAAGAACACCAATTCCTATCTTATTTCCCTTGGTTCTCACGATGTTCTCTGAACATTACAGGATATCCCTTTTCGTGGGAACCCGAACATAAAAAAAAGTGAATCCACATTCACAGTTGTACAAAAAATGTTGTTTTTAATTCGTTTATAAAATTCGTGTTTCCATGGCACATTCAAGATAAATTAACAGTCTCATGTGCCATTAAAAAACACTCATTTTACGCACTTGCTACGCTTGCTACAAAAATAACTATTAAAAGAAATTCCCTATTGAACATTAGCCTCCACACAAGCAAAATGTTTGTCAATAATATAATAATGTTTATTCAAAGTGTTCGGCTTAGTTATCAAGTTAGCCACTTCATCGATCCCAATAAGAACTTTCAATTTTTCCAATTTTTTATTCATTCGAATATTCATTGCAGTTCACCGCTTCCACATTTTTGCATTTGCACCTGTTGCTGATCATCTGTCCACCAATCCCAATGTATAAGTAGAAGCTACTATGATTTTCGTAGGTGGTGCCTCTCATAAATAGAAACGTTATTTTCAAAGATTTAATATTAGCAGTCATGAATATTTATGCCGTATCGTTCAACACGCCGTGAAAAGCCGGTGGAAATTTGTCCGCATAACTACCGGAAAATGTATGAATACACAATCACACCGACGAACCGACCGAGAGTTATTTTTGTCGTCTGCTTTTCATTTTTCACTCATATAATCCACTTATTTTCACGAAGGTTTTTAGCATTTTTCATTCATCAGTGCTTATCAGACTTTCGCAGGAAAATACCTGCAGGAGTATTTTTTGTAAAAGTGTTGGCAGTGGCAGTCAGGACCAAATTACCTATTAGACCGGCAAGTATTGGCCGATTTTCGGATGTGATTTATTTTCACCCGCTTTTGGAGGGTATCATCTGAATAACACCTAAAAAATTCAGATTTCTTGTGATATTCTAGCAAATAAAGTTCATATCAACATGTATCCTAACTTGCTCCGTTTTTGAGATACAGGATTTTAAAGTTGGAAGTATCAATTGTTTTTATTTATAACCTCCCTAAGCTTTCTTGGTGCCAAAATTTAGCATCGTTGGAGACTGAGGAAGGCCTAAAATTCCAAAATGATTGTGATTGGAATTATTGAGTAATCTCAATAGAAGTCTTGAAAACACCTACAGTATAATTTGGAGTCGAATCGAATTTTTATTGTTTCCTCAAAAAATGAGCGAGATACTAAAATCACATAAAGAATGAAATATCGATATGACATTCACCATAAATATCGATAAATTTACCCACTGTGACGCTACTGGAAATACCAATAACTTGGTAGATTTCAATGCAAACAAAACACAAGCATGCCTTTTCTCTAGAAAAGCCGATCTCACTGTGCCCAACATAACTTTGTCATGAGTAACC